TTTTTTTTTTTTTTTTTTTTTGGCTATGAAAATCTATTAACTCTATCGACCGAATTAAAAAGTGTGTCCCCTGAAATCTGATGTATATTTTAGGCCCTGAATCAGCTGATTCGGCTGTTTGTCGAATTTAGAATTTATATGATTGTCCTCTGCGGTATATTTCTTAAAACTCATTCCGGCCGTTTTTAAATTGGCCGGCACTAAAATTTTCCCAAGTCCATACAAATTTATGGTGTTGGAATGGGGCAATTTTTGGTAGTTTGTTGGGTAAAATATGAAACTGATGATTGATTCTGATGCTTATTATGCTGCTGCTGCTGATCATTAATATTATTTAAGTGATGATTATCCTTATTCTGATTATGCTGATTCTTATTATCATGTTTTTTTTTTTTTTGATGCTTATTATGCTGCTGCTGATCATTATTAATATTTAAGTGATGATTATTTTTATTCTGATTATTCTGATTCTTATTATCAAGTTTTTTTTTTGATGATGCTTATTATGCTGCTGTAGATCATTATTTTATTTAAGTGATGATTATTCTTATTTTGATAACGCTGAATCTTACTATCATGTTTTTTTGTTTTTATGATGATTATTAAGCTGTTGCTGATCATTATTATAATTAAGGTGATGATTATCCTTATTCTGAAAATGCTGATTCTTATTATCATGTTTTTTTTTTTTTGTTTAATGCTTATTATGCTGCTGCTGATCATTATTAATATTTAAGTGATGATTATTCTTATTTTGTTAACGCTGATTCTTATTATCATGTTTTTTTTTCGTTTGATGCTTATTATGCTGCTGCTGATCATTATTAATATTTAAGTGATGATTATTCTTATTTTGTTAACGCTGATTCTTATTATCATGTTTTTTTTATTTTTTGATGATGCTTATTATGCTGCTGCTGATCATCATTATTATTTAAGTGATGATTATTTTTATTCTGATTATTCTGATTCTTATTATCAAGTTTTTTTTTTGATGATGCTTTATTATTGTTGTGCTGATTATTATTATTTAAGTGATGATTATTCTTAATCTGATAACGCTGATTATTATTATTGTACTGATTATTATGATTATGTTTTGTTTTATTTTTTTGATGATAATTTTTTTTTTTGCTTTATATTATTATAATTTAACTGATGATTATTTTATTTTGTTAACGCTGATTCTTATTATCATGTTTTTTTTTTTAATGATGCTTATAATGCTTCTGCTGATCATTATTATTATATAAGTGATGATTATTCTTAATCTGATAACGCTGATTATTATAATTATGTTTTGTTTTATTTTTTTTTTATTTTGCTGATTATTATTATAATTTCAGTGATGATTATTCTTATTCTGATAACGCTGATTCTTA